AAATGGTTTGCAAATTATACTATCTGTCCCTACAGGCCAAGCCAAGTTCTTATTTAAACACGATGTGGGTTAGTAAGCGTTTAAGATGCTTCATGATGAACACTTTCTATGCAACAAAAAGTGGCTAGGCTCGAATCCCGATGAAGATGCGGATGAGACGAGGAGGTCTTCCCGCGACAATATTATCCGGAGTGGACTGCAGTACGGGCTTTGCTCTGTCCCATTGGTCTCTTCGACGGGAATGATGAGCCCAGTAGGATTGGGAGGGTCTTCTGAAGGGCACATCATCGCGACACTTATTGAAGACTCCAGCAGTACTTGGTTTAGTGTAATTACGCGCTAAAGCACTTCCAAACCGGATAATTAGACAAATATGTGTTTGTATTACTTATTTTTAAGTAAGTAGTATTTGAGCAAGGATGACTATTTTTTATTTGAGAATTACTCATAATCTTGAAAACTACTTGCATCAAAAATAAGTAAATTTGCCGATTGCACTGGCAAATACATTCCACAATAGAAAGACCAGTTTTCGAATCCTTTGGCGTGTAAATGAAGAAACTCGCTCATCCTACAAATCTTGGGAAAATCCATTTATTCTATCTTACACCGCCTTACACGACCATTGCTTACTAAGTGCTGACAGTCTCGAAAGCAACTTATAACGAAAATATGTTTCAGCACTACGTTTTCAATTTGTTGGTCCGAGAAGAAGACACCTAGTCCCTATTTTAGTCAGTCGGTTGCACATTTCTTTCGGCTTTCATCAGTCTATACTCTCTGCATCCATTTACATTCTCCTCTTACCTGTCCATTTCACTAACTCTCTCTCTCCCTCTCCTTCTCGCTGTCATCTGCTCGTCCCCTCCATGTCCGATCATTGCATGTTTCACCAATAACCTACCCCTTACAAGCAGCCTTCACTTGCCTACCGCTTCACATGTTCACTTTACCCTTCATCACGTCGGGAGAAATCGTCTCTTGACCAGTTGGTTGCCCCGGTACCTACACCTTTGGTGAAAAGCCTCGGTCTAGACGTTGGAGCCATAGCCAGTGTGTGTCTCTGTGGGGACATATGCTGGGCACTGTTGTGGGACCGAAAAAAAGCACTAATAACCGCGATAAGCCTTTCGTCCGAGTAGCTTTGCCCAACTGGGCCTTGGGCTGGGACTCGGGCTCAGTCTGAGGTTGGAGTACAAACGGTTGGTTCCCTTTTAGTGCCACCACCACTGTCGCCTTGACGACCAGATTACGCCTCCAGCCAGTCGTGACATGCTCCAGTTGTGTCGTGTCACGTAAGCGATCGGCTTGCGTGAGAAGGGGCAAACACAAACAAACGGCAGACGCAAGCACGTCTGGATTTAACAAATCATCTCTACAACGCCTCTTCATCCAGTGGGGGTGCAGGTCTACGACACTCAAGTAGAACTGTACAGAGTTGGATACAGCAGGGCAACATGACTGGCTGACAGGACGACAGGCCGACAGGTCGGACACCCTCAACCGGGACGAACGAACAGACAGTCAGGCCAAAGAAAGGAGGATAAATCGACTACCAAAGTCCCTCTTCACGGCGATGCGGACCAACACACGCACACACACACACACAAACTCAGACATACTGAAAAACACGAATACACGAAACTACGTACAGACTGGCCGGCAGAGAGACAGAGGGTGAGGCAAGCGGGTAGACGACCAGACGACCAGACGACCAGACGACCAGACGAGCAGGAGAGAAATGGGTAATTTCGACATTATTTGGAGGTAGAGAAGCAAACCTGCCCGCTGTTCTGTGCCAGCTGACCTGTTTGTGGTCCTATCGACGTGATTCGGGCCGTGTCATGCAGTCAACGGAGCCGAGGCGCCGGTCGGATGGCCCCAGAGGTACCGGCGACCGAGGCGACAACGGAGAAGTTGGCTGTACAGTGTCCTCGTCGAAGGGGGCCCGATGCTTGGGCCGATTGCCATTGCACCGCCTCGTCAGGCTTGCACAAATCTGGCTGGCCGTGATGCTGGGCGGCTATTTCCAGCCGAGTCTGGGTAAGTCGACTTGCCAACTGTACGGCCAACCGCGGGTCAAGCGGGCAAAAGGCTTGAAAAGTCACGGTTTGATGAGTCTATGACATTCATTTCCTGTTGACGTACATTTCGTCTGGTTTGAAAAGGCTGCCGGAAGGCATTCACCGGACACAGAAGGAGTATTGTCCTGGACATGTGGCTGCTGGATTCTGTGAAGAGAACCTCGCTTCAACATCCTGCGACTCTGGCAGATTCGTTCGTTTTGTGACGGAAAAAATCACGAAAATTCACTAAAAAAGCACTAGACCAAGAAAGATGAGGCCAATTTAGGATACCTTACGTCAGCATCAATCCAGTTGGAGACTATTATAAATCCAGCTTCTCTTTAGCCTCCGTTTATGTGAAAGTATGTGGTGAAAAGACGCGTAGGCCGATCTCATCAGAAGAGGACGCCCAATTCGACTTGTTGTTGCCTGCTTCTATCATTCCTATCATTAATTTTTCAACCGTGTAAGTTAC